AAACCTTTTCAGAGCCTGTTCTCTGGTGGTATATGTTTTGTGGCATTTTTTAACCAAAATGTAACAGAAATTAACCCTGTTTGTTGCAACTAGTTTATTTACATTTGACATACATATGAAAAACTGAAGCAACATTAGTATAAAACAAAAGTCTCAAGTGAAATTAGTGACCACAATGGCTCTTTTTGTTTAGCTGCACTCTGAAACAACACACGTACCCTCTCAGCGTCAGACTGAACATTTGGATGAGTCAGTAATGAATGCAGTTGTTTTCAGCTTCCTTCACTTCACCTGGTGTCCCCATCTCCACCGTTGCCTCTTGTTGCACATCACAGGGTAAAGAGGCTGCAGGTGCGAACCAAAATGAAGCCGTTCATCAGATTCCTTTCCCCTGTTCCTTTTGCCTTTGCGTTATATCCAAATTTCTCTGGGACCCATGGAGTTAGAGGTTTGAACAGTCATGTTATTCATTTATATATTTTTTTGTATTTCTTTTGAAAACAGATTGTATGCCTACTCACCTCTGTTGTTTTGACCTCATGCTGCTCGGATCTGTCTTGTTTGGAAAACGATGCAGAAATGTGGTACTTTTTTATATTGAAAAGATACTCTGTCTGAAATGGTAAGATTGCTCTTACGACTTATTCCTGAAAAGCACCAAATTGCTATTTAGATATACTGCTGGCAGGTTTGTTTACTGTCTAATTCCTCAGGGGAAAGAGAGCACAATTCGCAAAAAAGGAGTGATTCAGATGGTCTCAATATCCATGTCTTATTGAAATTCAACAAATTATTTGAGTCTATTAACTGTTTAGAATAAGAAGTATATCTACAAAATAATACATATCTGGAAACTTTTTTTTTTTAAATGTATACATGGAGGTGTTGAGTCCAGCTACCCTACAGACGGAATGGAAATCTGACATTTCCAAAGGAGAATGAAGTCAGATCAGCAAGAGAAATTACTCCTAATAAGTTTGCAGACTCTTTGATTCAAATATTCATGATAAAATAAGACATTCAATTTCTGATGATGGGCTCTTTTTCAAAGTGACTTTTTTTTTTCCACTTTCGCTTTAAAGTCTGCAATGCACAGTTCCACTGTGCCTCATTAGATGATTAGATCTGGGTGTGACTGCTAGGCCGCTTCCACGGGACATGAAAATGAGTGCCTGTCAACCCAAGTTATGGCTAATGTTATGGCATTTCAGAACTGACATTCTAACTGCTCCCTGTCTCCCCTCTGTCTTGTGTTTCATGTCTCCCTGCTTTGGGGTTAATGAAATGCCCCTTTTGAATAGGTGGATATGAGATATTGTTAAGTCCATCTGAGCTTTCATCTTTTTCCCACGTTTCCTCAACCTGAGTTTCATTGTTGGACTCAGCAGAGTGCCGATGACAGGAGATATACACATGCAATATGCTTGCTGACGATATAATACAATATCACTGCATTTTGAGTGTTTGATTTAAAGACCGAAAGGCCACATTATTTTAGCAATTTGATATTATATTTTCACACTCATTGAAGAGATTACACTAACGTGTTCCAAAACATGTGTACATGTTCTGTCCTGTAGTCAGTGATGCACAATACAATAGTTTAAGTCGCTTTGGATAAAAGCGTCTGCCAAATGCATGAACATGAACATGAACATATTGTGTTTTGAAGGATAAAATGATTGACTTTCAGAGCAGAAATTTCACGTTATTACTGTCATGCAGTATTTTTGTAAAACAGGCAAGAGCATTTACTGAGATGAAGATGAATCAAATAAAGTTCTCCAGCTTTCATGCAAGATGGGTAAGAAAAGGTCAAATACAATATTTGGATAGCTATCTCTGTATTGCTTCTGAGAATTTTAAAGTGAAGCACTTTATTTCTGCTACTGCTTTCCTGAAATATACAGTAGTTTGATCTCTCACACATCTGCCTTCATAATTTTTTTCATTCTCAAAGTGAATGATATTGGTGACAATCATACAAGCAAACGCTCACTCTCAATCAAGCTCTTTGAATCTGATCTTCCCCGTTCTTTCAGTGTGGCATATGTGTAGGTAGTTGGGTCATCATTTATCATTCATGTTGACATTTCCTTTGATCCGATGTCCCTGTGAGTGTATTTACTCACACAAACAACTGCATGTGGTTGTGTAAGCGTGTTATTAGCCAGCTTTTCGCTTGTCGTTGTGTAAGAAAGTGTAACTCTTTGTCTAAGCTGACTTCCTTGTGGGCTGTCCAACAGGTGACAGGTGGGGTCCTGTGACAAACTAATGGAGCCAGAAAGGCACATTTCCTTAGGGTGCAACTTCATCTGAATGTGTCTGAGAGGAATTCACATGTTGACACTGCAGTGGTGAACATGCACCATGAGAGTCTGGCCAATCACCCGTTTGCAGGCGTGACAATAGAGTTAAATAAGGGCCTATCCAGTCACACTCATGGTCGAAATTGTAGACTTTTAGCAGTTATTTTCATAATCTCTTTGTAGTTTTAAGAGATGAGTCATGCTGACGTAGAGCAAGAGTTTTGCATTTTGATGTACAAAGTGAGCACTTTAGAGACATTTCTGGCTTTGGGACCTCCTTCATCTCACTGGAAGAAATTCTATGGTTTCATCTGCTCTTGGCAATGAACTGTTATCCCCTTGGTATTTTGAACAACTTCCATCTATCTTTTAGATGATTTGTCGAGTTTACTGGCTTGTAATGTCTGTTAAGTAGCTCGTCTCTGCCAAACAAAACCAGGTTCAGATCTATTTTCTGCTCCTTAGTTGCACATGCACTTCTTTAATGATTCTGTCTGTGACTCCAATAATGCACAGGCACAAATCAAATGCCCAAGCCTTTTCTTGTCTTTTTGTTGCTCTCTGTTCATGGCCTTAATTATGTTTCTCCTTATGCATTTTTTTCCCTGTCCTACTTCCTTCCAGTGTGATCCACTTTGCTTACGTCAGCTTGCTCCTCTCAAAGTCTTTTCCCATCACCACTGATGACGTCTCTCTAGATGATGTGCCTTAAGTGCCTGCAGCTTCTTCTCTGTTTTGCAGTGTGCCAACTGGATTCAAGGAGATAAGCTGCATGTTTCGCTAATGGCTACAAGTAGCATCAAAACAGTATCAAACTGTATTGATGTTCAAGTGCTGTAATAAATTAAATATGTATCTTACTGTCATCTTGTCTGCTCTCAGAAGCCTTTCATCTGAGGCTGTCAGCCAAGGTATTCCTCAAAGGGGGCTTTTGTATTGTGCGCTTTAGTAAATTGCAAGTGGCTTTTATACCTTGACATGCAGTCAGTAGCTTTAGAGTACAAAAGTGGACCCTGATGATGAAATCCTGTTTAAATAACCATTTGTGTGCATTGTTATCAGTGAACGAGACCAGGACAATCTGTGTAAATGACTAACAATATGAAAAAGCCTATTATTTTCACAGTTGTCAGAAGTTGAATCGAGATTCTTCCATAATAATGTAAAATATTTATCGCTTGTATGTAACACAGACTGGCTGTCAGGGTGTCAAAAGGAAGATATTTTTAAACAAGGAAAAAAATATCTTGGCAAAAATGAAAAAAGATCCAGCCTGACAACAATCATGGGCACCAGTAAGCCTCACAATTTGATTTGTAAACGTAAGGGACGTGTAGAGGACATTTATCAGTATGACACAGGACACAATGCGCTGGTGCACAATGCACAATTTTTTTTATTGGTTAAATTAGCGGGAGCTCATTTGCTTTCACTGCAAAATCCTTTACAGGGCTTTTTGTTTTGTTAATTAAGCCAGCGCAACCATTTTGTACGCTTCCTGCATACTAAGCGGCAAAGGAGAGAGGAAGGGCATTGTTACTCTGCTCTCTTGAACCTCAGAAGCATTGTCATTAGTTTTTTTATGATTTGCACCAAAGATGATCTGTTTGGATTCATATGTGCTGAAATTAGATTGTTCCGTTCACCCTGGATAATCACCTCCAGTGAATAGAAGTTCTTAAGAGCTCTCTTTCTGTGTGAACTGGGTTTTGTTGGAACAAATAAGAGCCCATTCACAAAAAATTGCTGATTTTGTTGGATTTTAAAGGTCACAGAGAATTGTGTGAGTGGATTGCTTTGCTCAAGGCGGATGCACTCTCTTCTCATAAATTTACAGTATTTGTCTCTGTGCTATTGAAACAAAAATGCTCCTGAGGAAGAGGAGTATCCTTGCTGGAACCTCACATAAACTTGGGGAATCCATTTATGACTTTAATGAGCCACATTATGGCCAATCACAAGGAATTACTGTGCCATGGCAGCTCTTTCTAAGCTCCATAATGCACAGATAGGCTGAAAATCTGATGAGACAGCAGGATGTTTTTCAAACAAAAAATAAGCCAGAAAGCAAGTTTTTAAGATCATGAAGTGGTCAGGATTTAAACTGTCTGGAGGTCTTTAATTCATAATAAATAACATCAGAACCCCCCTGCCCACACTTTGTCAGCTTTAGCACTCTTAAGCAATAAAAGGTTTTATATAGTACCCATAAGTATACCCATCATTCTTCTGGAATCAGTTCAACGCCTTCAGCTCCATTAATTAGTCTACAAATAAAACAACCCACTTTCATAGCGTTGCTTAGCCGACTAATTCTGAGCTTTTACAGCCTGTAACGTGGGCCCCACTAATCACACTGAAATTTACTGGGGCTGCAGCCTCCCGCCTCACACTGTCTCTGACCTCTCATTTATCAGGCAAATCAGCAGGAAGGTGAGCAATCTAAAGAGCACAGTTTTGGTTCTGAAAGCCAAAATCCCAAGACATATCGCAGCACTGCCTCTCACTTCCTCAGAAAAGCATTCCTTGTCTTTTTCCATGGTCTGTTTTGCCTCATTCGAGCTTCCCCCAATGATTTGTTTAGCCTGTTAGTTTTCGAATGTAGCCCTGTTTAGTTTGTTCGATGTTTTCGATAATTCATCTAAATATATCACTCCACTGACATGTTTTCATTTTTTGTCTGTGTGTTTCACCATTAAGGATGCAAAGGTGCGCGAGCTGCTGGATGTCAGCCTGCTGGCGGGGAAGATGGAGAATAGGATGCTGACGGTGGTGAGCGGCACTGACATGGTCAACATCACCTACCTGAACTTTATAGCCCTTCAGGAGGAGATTGCAAAGGTGAGAACTGCATAAAACACATTAAAACAACATTTGTCAGCAGTTGTGCTTTTTTATATCCGAGAGAAAATTGTGTAGAATTTTCCATGAGAGCACCACAAAAACTGCCTGAGCACATGGTTCTCACTTGGCCCTGCATGTGTGTTTATTCACTACAGGAATGGGCAGAAGAACTGTTCAACCTGGCATCTAACCTCTTGGTACAAAACATGTCCAGAGAGGCCTGCCTTGACAAAGCGTATGTTCCCCACATGCACAAACACTAACATGCATGCAGACAGTTTGACAGCTGAATTTATATCCACACTCCATGAGGAGAACATAAAAATCAGACATAACAGCAAAACAAACATGCCACCTTTCTACTGGCTCAGAACTGCTGTGAGCTGTTTGTTACATACACAGAAACAGTGGAAAAACAGAACTGCACTTTCAAGTTTAAGCCTTACATAAGTCACCTCTGCCTCATCAGTGATTCCACCTTTAGAAAAAGTCTTTATTATTAGTTCCTCTTAAACCGCTTACGGCATTATGTCCATCTAACTGAGACACCCAAACCGATCACAACTGAAGCTCACACAGCTTAATTATGAATCCGAGATATTGCTTACAAAAACTACCAGAGGTTATGCTTTGTGACAACTCCCAGCTGTCTGATGTTTATCAGTGAAGGGAAACCATTAACGTGCACCCCTGAGGAGACTAATTGACTTCTGAAACAATAAAAGTGGCCATCGACCACATAGTAAAGGGAGAATTTAATGAAATCTAAGAGCACAGTTGCACTGGTTGCTCACTGCAGTCTCTGCTGTGCACTGCTTGCTTACAAATAAGGCAATGCTCCTCCCTACAAATGCAGCATCATGAGGAGGCATCATCCCTGAAGTGATGTTGATGTTTCTCCGCGTGTGGTAGATTCTCTCTAGCTTTTAAGGCTGTGATATATTTTTTTGGAGGCTGGGTGGATAGGCAATGTTCCCAACAACAGGAAACTAACTAGAACCCAGCATGTTTTCAAACGTTGTTTGCTACAAGATGTTCTTTTGACATCTGTACAGTAGTACAGAGGTTACGTCCAGTCCTCAAGCAATAATAAATAGGGTTTGAATAGCATGTGAAAGCACATTTGATTAACCTAAACTAATGATTTCTATATAGGAATGATAGGCACTTGCGAGGCACACTTAAAAACACCTGTTTCTTAGTTTTTCAGTCTTTCTCTGCTTCTCCGAATTGTCAAGCCTTGTGGCAGCTTTTGTTTTTTTATTTGCTCGTTCTCAGCTAATGCTGTCATTCATTTGGTGCATTTCTGGAGAAAAATATATCTTTGATGAAAATCCTGTCTGTCCCCAATGACCATCTCAGTCATGTGTGATTTTGCCCGAGGCAGCCATCCTGACCTATGAAGTGGACACTGTAATGGATATTAATTATTAGCCAGCAGCCACTTAAAGCCCAGCCTATAATGATAGCTCCTTTTGCAGCTGAGCTATTTATAGCCCAGGTTGCGCTATCCGTATTGCTGCTGCTGCTGCTGCAAGGTGCTCCACTACCAGCACTTGAGACTTGCAGGGATTAACCATGATACTAGCCTTGCATGTAAACACAGACAGACATTTGTGGTATGCAAAGAACTGCAGACATGCATTGTGTGTACTCCAAGCACACAACCTATGGGCAAGTACACATATACATGAATCCATTATGTCAACTTAAGCAAGGACATGCACTGCAACAATATATATTTAAAAATAAAAAAATTGAAAAAAATTACATGTTTGAGGTGTGTTCTCCATCCATTGCAGATACACTCGGCTAAAGTTACAACTCAACCCTGAGGGAAGAATTCCTGTCAAGAAGTAAGTTTTTCTGACTGTCTCCCCTTACACGCCTCCAGCTTTTCATCAATACAAACTGTAGCTTCTTTATTATTAGTATGATATGCACCATGTATTTTGGTTTATGGATGCATTCACAACCCCATGCCTGCAAAAATGTACACATGTCCACACATTTTCCTTACATGATGAACTCTATAACATGTCAAGGTCATGACTTGTATTCTCAGCTACATTTCAAGTGCAAGCTGGAACAGGAATAAACTCTCGTAAACCAATGTTTTTTCACAATAGATTATAGAAATGCTAGATACCAAATGAGACATTGTACAACATCCTGAAAAATATTAGCTCATCTTGAACTTGACAACAAAAATGTGTATGTATATATATCCAGAATGAAAAAAAGGATGTAAGTGATCATCAGCCATTGTATGCATTTGATTTACCGCTTTGATAAATACATATTTACACCATTACGTGTTTTAATAGATTTGTTGGAAAAGTAATCTCCCAATATTCATAATAACTGTCCCACATTTTTTGCTTATAGTAGTTTTCTTCTATGTATTTTTCGACACAGTCAGCATTTATGTACTTTACATTAGTTTTGCTGAATTAGAAATTACCCAAGAAACCATGACATTACATGTCAGCCTTCTGATGTTTCTATTTATCTTTTTTCAAGATTTCTTTACTGTAAACGTAAAGAGTATAGTAAAATTCTAAAGGATTCAAGGGCAATACATCTATTGATAAAAACGGATAAGTTCACTGTTATATTTGTTAGTCAGTAAATGCATAACCTGATATACGTCATTGTAAGTGTCATTGATTGTTTGTTTGTTTTTTGGAAAAGAAATCAAAAAGACCAGTCCTTTTGCTTATATTTGCTTTTTCTTTTTTAGTTTTAAGAGGTGGACTTTACTTTATTACAGGGTTATCGGAGTACAATGTGAGCCCTGTAGACTTTGTTACAGCTTTTAGCCGTTGCTGAACCTCGCTCTGGAGTTTTTACTGGCCTAATCCACATCACTTGGCTCCAAACTGTCATCCACTAAGACTGTTGAACAAATTCCATCCATAATTCGAATGCTGCTTACTGCATCTAATTTGAGCATGCTTCTTTGTCATCACGTTGCACTGAATATTATCTATATCACATGAAGCTTTCCAAAAGGCTCAGCGACTAGTCTCCTCACCAAGATGTTTACGGACTGTTTAAAAAAAATAGAGGGTCCTCCATAGTGATAATTATATCCCTGTTAAAACCTTTCTTGATATAAGTTGCTCCCATCAAATTCAGAATGGCTCATTATTTTCAAAATCCTTGCATACTGTTGTGTTAGAACATGTTGTATTGTGTGTGTTTATCTAAAGGAAACCTAAGCTCAAAATGCACATGTATGCTGGAAATTAGCTGTTTATATGTCTTCCCTGCTCAACGATATTCTGGTTTAATTTTTTTGGTTACTTGTCACTTTGTCATGTAAAGCCCATTCCTCCTAGTCTACATTAATCAAGTTGAGCTTTCAGGCAAGCAACAGTGAACTTCAGTGATAACCTTCCAGAGAGCCACAGAGGAAAGCAGTGGGTGTCAAAACAGAGAGGCAGGGATATGCTTCTCACCGTTTAGGGAATTAACCTCCTAGCTGGGAGGACATGTCAGTTTGACTAATGTCAGCTTGACACAACCCTCCCCCTGAGCATACAGTGTGTGCTCATAGACCCCCACAAATCCTCAGCCAATAATTACATACCTAAACAACCGTAACTCTGGATTCAACTGAACCAGAATCAGTTTTGTTTGAATCATTCGCTTGCATATATTGGATGTGTTATATCTGCATGAGTTGGAAGAAGATATAACCATGGCTGCAGCTTTCCACTGTGATATGGCAACAATACAATGATGATGGCATTGGCAGAAGAAGTATTTCTAAGATCATAATTTTCCATGGTTATTACATTTTCAAGAATAGCAAATATCATCATTGGAGTCATATGCTGTTTATCACCTGGAATTATAAACAGTAGCTTTTAAGTAATTAAAAAAAAGTAAAAACTGAAGAAAGAGTATCTTTTTCCTCTATCCCCAGCATCTCACACGGCGTATCTTAGTGTCCTATTCCAGTCATAGTAATCCCATAACACCTTATTTTTTTTCTAGAACTTGTTTAATGGTCTCGATTTAACCTTCATTCACTATTCACCTTCTTATCCAATGGATATGGATCTATCAATATGATAATGAGCTCCACCCACTTGGAATACTGCATTATTTTTTATGTTAAGTTAAAATCTATATAAATCACTGCAGTGCTCAAAGTGCAAAGAACAAACAACAATAAGGTAATTATCAAGGCACCTTACTCTTTCTCCTCTTGTGGAAGTGTAAGGGTTTTCACATAAGATGCAGCAGCTGTGTTTAGCACTGAGGTCAGTTTCATTTAGCAAAGGGACTGTCTGCCCAGAATGAATAACTTAAGAGGCAGCTGTGTGAGAAATCTTACACAGTCTATCCCAGCTGACATTTGGACAAGGCTTAGTGTTGAAAACCAAAATGGTCTTGAAAGTTTAAAAACAAGAATTTAGTAGCATCTTAAAAGGAGTCTGGTTTAATTACGAGAATGTCTTTATTTCGATTCCACGTTAATGAATTTATAGTCCAATACACTGAACATGTAATGGTTAGTTACACGACAGTACTAGTATTGTTCATTGCTCAGCAAAGATATGAAAAGCTAGTGTCAACTGCTGACAGGTAGAAATAGGCCTTTTTGATAACCTACTGTAATTCACTGATAAGGGATATGCTGAATTTCAAAGATATTAGAGTTGTTTCATGGGGAAAATGCCAGAATTTATCATTTGAAAGCACACAGTTTCTTCTTGAGAATATCATTTCATTTAGCGCTACTACAAATATTTGATTTCTTGATTTTGACACAGAAATTACCAGGGGGAAATGGCTCAGTGGGTGTGTTTTTGTCCTCCTACAGTATCTTCAGGATGTTCTCAGCAGACAGGAAGCGAGTGGAGACAGCACTGGAAAACTGTAACCTCCCTTCTGGCAGAGTAAGACAACAAAATACTTAAACTTTTTTCCCCCTTTAATATTATTCTTATCCCTCTCCTCCCATCTGCCTTTTCGTAGTCACTAACCTTTTTTTATTCTCTGCCACATCTATCAGTCTGCCCTCTCACCATTTAGCTGTCATCTATGCAGGCTCATCTTTGCTCATTTGTTTGGTGCCATATTTTCTGCATATCTGCATGGCTTCCAGCTTAGAACAGATTCAGTGCTGGTGTTGAGAAACAAACAGACCTAGTGGGAGCAATAAAGATGACAAAAGCTGTTTTACCCTTACATGTTTTGATATCACTTGATAGAAGCTGCCCCCTCATGCATAAAAGTGCAAACAGTCTCCCAAATGTCTCTGTAGCTTAACGGTACTGTAGCAAGCAATTTGCATCGCTGGAAGTGACAAAATCTTGTTTAATGAAGTTCTGAACATATGCTGAAACATATGGACACACAAGAAGGCCGACACAATGAATGGCTCAGGAATGCAAACAGAATGAACATGGACGCACAGAATTACACAGAGCATAGGCTTAGATAATTAGCACTGGAAAAGACAGCAAGAGGGAAAAAAAGCATGTTGCTCTATGATGGTCTGGTGGGAATTTCTGCTATTCCATTGCACAAGTAATTACAGCTAAATGGTATCACTGTTAATCCCTTACACACACAAACATTCACATAGGCAAAAGTGCAATCACAACATGGTTCACACCAGGGTCGTTTTAATGACTCAATGAGTTTGAGAGGTTGACCTCCATCCCCCCTCCCTCTTCTGTCCTATCCTCCCTTTATCCTGCTCTTTGTTATTTTGCTGGTAAAGAGCGATTATTTATATTCTTGTCATACCTGCTTGGCTCTGATAGCAAACTTTGATATGCAGTTTTTTAATTAAATGCATTTCTAAATTGTGTATTTATTCTTAAGCCATGTTCTTAAACAATGCCACACAGCCATCGTACCATCAGTCACTGGATCTAAATATTCTTGAGATGTTCTGCAGTGGTGCTTGCATATCTGCAACATTTGCTGTGGGATTCTTGAGGAGATTTGTGGAGATGCCTGCCCCTTTAATTTCCAGCAAAGAGAGTGCATCGCCAGCAGGATACCTAATGCTGAGATGTGTTCATGTAGACAGCGACTGCAGTAAAAGTCCAAGGCAGATTGTCTCCACTTTCTCCTCAAACTCTCTGGTCTCTATTTGTGTAATGCATAAAGTATTTGAGCCTGGTTGACATCACTAGCACTTTCAACATTGTTGTTGTTATTTGTCCCAAAGTAATATTATTTATGCTTCAGAACATTACCATTTGCTTTAAGTTTTACTCACATTTCAAGCTTGTGTAGTGTCTTATATTAGCCTCTGTTTCTCTGAAGGGTTTGTATTACAAAAGGACATTTGCTGTTCTGTTAGATTCTTGATGTTTCCCAAAATACTTTCTTGTTTTCCTTTATGGCTTCCTAATAATTTGGACCCCTGCAGATGTTAGAGATTCCAATATTTTCAATGTTTATTGAACCAACAAAAATAAAATGCCATAAGCAAAAAACACACAAAAATAAATGCAGAGGCTTATGAGAATTTGGATGCGATCAGTAAATTATCAATGTTTAGATTTTCTGTGCATGTGCATGACTACTTTCTACTTTTAGACAATCTGATGCGCACCAGTTGTTGCTTTTCTAAAACTAAATAACCAAGTAATTAATTTAATGAAGTGAACCTTTTAAATCCTTTAAAGTAGACATTGATAAGTCTGCACACGGCGTAAAAGAAGAGACGATTACATTTAGTTCAAATTCCGTTCGGCCATCTCTGAAGCGGAGTGTTCTTTAATTCCATCTGACATCCGTTCTCCCACAAACTATCAACCCACTTGTATCTCAAATGTATGCATGTATGATTTATGTGACCTTGCTGTTGTTGTTGACTTCAGAGTGACTCAATCCCCCAAGAGGACTTCACTCCAGAGGTCTACAGCCAGTTTCTGAGCAACATCTGCGTTCGACCCGAGTTGGACCACATTTTTTCTGAAATGTAAGAGCAGTACGATTTACTTTTAATACCCCATTCATCAGGATGGATGTTTTTTCTTAACTTTAGTGCTAATTAATAAATGTATATATAAATGTACTTGCACTTCAATAGCGCTTTTCTAGTCAAACACACAGTTTAAACAAACTGAATAGAATTCTCTCCAGCTATGTTTCACTCATTTCACAATGGCCACCAGATAGTAGTCATCCGTCTTGATAGCACTACTACATCTTTAACACACCTGCTTCTACCCATCAAAGTAATCATGAAAAGGGAATTATTACAAGAACGTACGTTAAAATGAATCCAGTTGGGACTGCTTGAGCCCAGCCATTTAGCTCCTCATGCTTCACAAGCAGAACTCCCCCTAAGCCCTTGGTGACTCAGACCATCAGCCGAGGCAGCATGCCAGCGTGACCAGTGGAACTCTGGGACATAAATCTAGATTTTAATCACAGTTAAGCATGATAGCATGAAAGCCAGGAGGATAAGGAGAAGATAATTTAGTTGAACAGTCTTGCATATGAAAGGCTTTTTAATCAAATCTTACAATTTACTGAACACAACATTTCATCATATGCTCCCTTTCTCATGTGCTGCTTGTGCTTAAACTATTGCTCTATTATGTCCAATTCTTTATCCTGGTATGATTCTTTCATTACTGTATCTTTATTTGGTGTTCTCATGTCCCCATCTTTACTTGTAATGGATTTTTCCTATGTTTTCCCTGGGCTGAAATGCCTTTCTCCTCAGTGGGGCTAAGAGTCGCCCATACCTCACAGTGGAGCAGATGACAGAGTTCATTAACAACAAACAAAGAGACCCTCGTCTGAACGAGATCCTCTATCCCCCACTCAAACCAGAACAGGTTCAGCTGCTGGTGGACAAGTATGAACCCAATGCTTCTCTGGCAGAGAAAGGTCAGTGGCTCAAATTTCTGTCGCAAACATGCGCATGTGTATGTGTAAGCACACATTGAACTTTCTAAGCATTTCAAGAGAAAAAATAAATAAATAAATCGTACAGAGGGAGCTACTAAAACAGCACCAATAAACTTGGTAGAGATGTTGCCATGCCAACTGTTACATACTATCCAAAGGTTTGAGAAGTAAGGGGATAAAGTAGGGCGCCAAGAAAAATATGACCACGATCACAGGCAAGTGCACACATTTACCACCACTGCCAAACCATTTTATTGCCTCCGAAAAAGTTTAACGTACTGAGGCATAGTTTGTCATGTTTTATTTTGAGGAATTGGACGGCATGAGGTACACACTTGAATATGGAAAGTTTTTCAAAAGAGCACTTTTAAACTCTTACTGTGTATCTGTTTAATAATATAAACTATACCTTACATGTACATAGTGTAATTTAATGGATGAATGTAGTTTGATACACTAAGTCAAAGAGCAGCAGAAGTGTGTGGCTGAACAAATAAATTTTACTTTCTTGAAAGAAACTAAAGAATATCAGCAGCCATGTGCTGCCTATTATATGTTCCTGTCCAATTTGTAAACAACAGGAAATAGGACCATTTTAGCTGTCAGTCAACGCAGAAAAAGTAATTTCCAAACAATCCCATGTCCCACAAAGATTATTTGCAAGTGGATAACATTCGAGACATTTGGATATCTTGCCTAAAGTGGACATGGGTAAGTTCGCCCTCAGGTCAGGCCCTGCAGCACTCAAAAAGCACAAGAACCAATTCTCAGTTTCTTCTGACCTCATTAATGGAAAGTGCATGTCAGTACAATTAGGAAAAGACTGAACAAGTATTACTTAGCCTCTTCCGTCTGAATTAGCTTTGTGCAGCATCCAGACAAACTGAGATTTCTGGTGCAAAGCTCTTTTAACAATGAAGCCCATTGTGCCGAAGTTTGGTCACAATGCTCAGCTCCAGGTTTGTGTTGCTTCCTCATGGTAAAGCAGGTGCAAAAATATCCCCAAAATAAAGTAATTTGTACATAAGGAAAGCAAAATGTTTTTTTAATTAAACGAAAATAGGTAATTCGACTTATTACTTGTTACTGTTATATGGTAGCAATCCTGCATCATTACTAAAAAGGCTCCCTAGTCTCTCTTTCCATAGTCTCATGTTTTCTGGTGGTTATCAATTGTGCAGCCTGGAAAAGCACAGCTGTTTTTTTTTCTTTTTCTTTTTCTTGTGCCAGCCATTAATTTCTTTTAAAAATCTTAAACAAATGAATCGAACCATTTTCTATCAGACTGGGGGAAAAAAGCTGAAAAATACACATTTAGGAGAACGGAAAGATTTTACACAAGAAACCAAACTGACATGCATTGCTGATTTAAAAAAAACAACCAAAATGAACTTCATAAAACTACTCTTTCTGTCAAAATGAAGGAAACCAGCAGAGAAATGTGTGTAATGGGAGGATCAGAGGAAGTTCAGAGTGATTCATAAAGAAGTGTAATGTGTGTAGGCGATCCAAACTCCTAAATGTAGTGCTTTTATAATGTCTGTGGTGTCAGGGGACTAAAGGCTGCGACGACCAGAGAACATCCCAACCTAGATACCAGGCAATGAGTTTGGTTCTGTGCCAATACAAATTTGATCTCTACTGGAAAGCATGCTATACAAGTGTGCCAGAGAGGGGACGCCTACTTTACACCATGTTCTGTTTATCGTTGAGCAAATCCACTTTTTATTTATAGTGATTGACCAAATGATTGACAAATGATAAATAATGTGGACAAAGTTTCCATTTTTTCCTACCAGTTTTAGGATTAGATTGCATACTGATGATAATAGCAGTTTCTACATAATCAATTTCCTAAGATACTACAATTTTGATTGAAACTATTAATACATCTTGCTTCAGTTTTTAGATGCCTTTTCATTATTGCCATTATTATAACCCTTACTGAGGCAGAATCCTTTTTTTTATGTATTCAATTCTTTTTATTCAAAATGCTACATGACAAACTACAGGAAATAAAGTGGAGTGAAAGCATTTTGATAAACCACGCTCATAAATCCAGTTTGACCACCTGGTGTCCAACTCTGATCACAGCAATATGCCCCTACTGTGATGTTGTGTGTTCATCCTGTTCCAGGCTCTCTGGAAGCATGCCCTTCCCCTGTCCCAGTGACAGATTTCCCTGTGTGAAGTATTTATCTAGCCTGAGGAAGTACTGCCATCTGCTCTGCAGAGGGGTCCAGAGCTCCACATGCCACCTTCACATACACATCCATATGCAAACACACATAGTTTTGCCACGCTCAAGGACACTTGTGTAAATAGAAATATTCATGAACTTTGGGTGGCGTTGAGTTTTTGTGGATGTTGTGGATGTAAACCGGCTGTTTAATGCCACTAAAACGATTTAGAGTAATGCACAAAAAGTGAATATGCATGAATGCATAAGCTTTGAGCGAAATCGCTCCAGGATATCCTGGCAGCTCATGAGGAATAGTGGGGACAACTTTCTCATTTTCTCTGTCATACTTTATTTTCTGTGCCATTTAATGATAAACATTTGTCTTATCTGTGCAAGCTGTTTTTCTTGTCTTGACTTCTGTAATCTCTGCTCGCTCAAATGTTGCAACATTGTTTTAAAGGAGATGAATAGGAGACAAAAAGTCAGAAAGCACTTAAGTTGGTTGACACATCATCATCTATGACATTTAAAAATTAGGATTTTAATTCAGTCTTCTTTGGCTAGATGTATAATGTGATGACTAACTTTATTATTGATAACATTTAAATTTGATTACATGTATAGTTTTTTCCCCATTTGTTGTAGATTTTTAAAAAGATTCTACCACAGGAAAGACACCTGTAGATTCTCATACTGGAACAGCAGTAGTTCCAGCTATTTTTTTAACATAACTGTTTTGGCGTGACTTACAGATGTCTTGAAAATGGAGCAAATCCCTAGTCTGTATCTCTCTGAGTATGTACAGTGTGCAGGATTGACCTCGGGCGAGCAAAGAGGTCCTTGCAGTCAGCAGGGAATAAGACGCTGAGTGTGACTGAGCTCAGATGTCACACACAGAAGCCAACGTTAATTAGTCCAGCAACTCTGCAGAGGGCGGCGTCGCATTAATTAGCATAAAGTGGCCGGAGGGACCTGCTGCACCCATCCAGCTTGAATCACTTAGCATATTTAGCATAAAGGCAACTGAGTGTTTCTAGGCAGAAGATTGGAAGCTTCCATAGTGCTTAATATAAATTCAAATTTTCATCTATGCACTTGTGGCATGTATGGTGATTAATATGGAGAGCATCATTTGGTTTAAAAAAGCTTTTCATCAAGCTGCTTATCACTCATTTCATCTCTGTTTTTCATCTCTTTTTTATGCTTTATGATTGTGGCCATGGGCAGTGATGGTTGAAAAGCAGTTAAACTTGACTTGACACACCTCGACAATCATAATAATAAGAAAACAAGTTCAAGTGCTGTTGATCTTAATCAGATTACATACTAATATGGGAAGCCACAGTGGTTTCTGAAGCCAGTGAAGAGTGTTTCATTCAATGTTGATAAACCTGCCAATAGAAACTGAACGTGGGACTATTAATTTGCTGGAATAATTCGTTATGACCTCCAAACATAAAAAAAGAAACCCATTTTTATTTAGGGTCATAACACTTTTTTTTCTCAAGAATGTCCTCCATGTCTAATATTTACCATTATTTATTGCAAATGAGAAATATTAAATTAGGTTAAAAATTAGTCAAGAACAGCATTATGTCCCCTCATATTATTTGGGATTGAGTAGCTCAAGGGACCACCGAAACAATATATTTGCAAAAGGATTTTCTGATACTTGTTGTTCAAATCCCACTCAATCCAAAGTAAATACCGCACCCACTTGGAGCCTTCTCCAGCCAAGCCCCTGCAGAGCATAAGTATTTGTGGGAACTGACTCAAAATAAACTACTGTTCCATATTCTTAACATTTGAAAAATAAAAAAACACCAAATCCTCCAAAATCTTTCCCTTTGGATTCCTCTAAGGAAAAATCCCTACCTCACTTTTCAAACAACATGAATGGTATGGCTGGATCTGGTCTTGTTTATGACATTGATAATAGAGAACAGTTGTGGACCTTTTTTCAAACCAAAGCCTGTATATAAAAAAAGAGAACATGCCACCATAAAATCATGATATATGTATTTTCATAAGAGTTCCTGAAAATCTGTGGGCCTTGACAGCTTGTGGTTGCCGGTATTATTACATGTTAAACCAAGTCTTTAATGAAGGTTTCATGGTGATAACAACTAGCAGGTGATAATAATACGGTTTGTGCTCTTCTTACAAACTTCAAATTTAAGTTTAATCTCGGAACAACAGGCGAAAAAAACTAAACAAATTCAAGTTTATCTTCTTGATTGCTCCAATTTGTTGTGTTCTTACAGGCCAAATATCTGTGGAGGGCTTTGCTCGGTATCTAAATGGGGAAGAGAACACCATCATTCCCCCTGAGAAGTTGGACCAGAGTGAAGACATGACCTTTCCCCTCTCACACTATTTCATCAACTCCTCCCACAACACATACCTCACAGGTAAAAAAAAAAAAGTGCAATTTTGTCACCACTCAGAAATCTGACCTAATGGATTATTCCCTTGAATGTAATGAGTCAAGCTCATTTTTGTCTCGACCTGATTGCTTAGGTGCTTCTGTTATTTTTTCTACAAATGAACTGATCTGTAATTTATTTAGAAACACAAATATGCTGTCACAGGTGAAAACGCACACATCACAAGTTAGTCAATCAAATGCGCTGTTGCATATCACACTCGCTTTCATATTAACCTCTCAAGAGGTTATCCAATCAAGTCATGCCATGAGACACATTTCATTGATATTCATGAGTTAGATATTTCTTTGACTGGTAGTCACAGTAACTGGTTCCCGGCAGTTTGCACGCAAGGCACTCACAATACAGAGGCCATTTTACCTTCAACAGAAATTAGAATTAATCTATTCAAATCTATTCTGGAAGAAACTTGAGAGCATTGAATCTTTCAAGTGGATCAGATTTCTCTAGCAATGGAAAAAATTTAATTGATGTAATAACCCAACTTTATAGCCTGCTAAATGGAGAGATGAGAAAAAACAAACAAGAGGCCCTTGATTCTCTTCCCATGAATGGTTTTCTTCATGTATTCGTAGGTGACTCTTTTTTTTATTCACAAACAGGAAACAGGGACAGGTAGAGTATTTCACAACCTTATCTGAAAAATACTGAACTAAACAACTGATACTTAATTTTGTGCTTCAAAGGTTAGATAATTCAGTAGAAAAGGAGAGTTGATGGAATAAATTCTTAAAGGAAAAAAGAGAAAGTGTTGACTTAAAATGAATTAATGAAGACACCTGAAGAGAGAGCACAGATTCTGAATTTGACTTTGTTTCACATGGTGCAGGCAAGCCAGCTGCTAATCAGTAGTGACTATTTCCTCACTAATAGAGACAAGGTGATGAGGCTTCCATGCCTTAGATGACCGGCATACCAGAGACTGAAAATGTCATATAGTGCTTCATAATAAGGGGCTTGCTTCAGTAAGGACTTTAGACATACAAAGGTATTCCCCTAATGACTGTTTATGTGTTTGTCTGCATGCGATTACAGCGGGCCAGCTAGCAGGCAACTCCTCAGTTGAGATGTACAAACAGGTCCTCCTGTCCGGGTGCCGCTGCATTGAACTGGACTGCTGGAAGGGTCGCACCACTGAAGAAGAGCCGGTGATCACCCATGGCTTCACAATGACAACTGAAATCTCCTTCAAGGTGATGCAAGAAAAGCTGAGCAATGGTGATAGTGGTGAGGGCTCAGGTGAAGGGTTGGGGAAACACATCTGTCACTGATTTTTGGCTAGATACTCGCATATTGTTAATTTGTGTTGCTACATTTGGCCATTTTGGGTTAATAAATAGATTTGGTTACTGAGAGTAAAAGTTGTTGTAGTTTTGAAGAAAACTGCTTGTTGGTATAGATTTTCAGTCATCCAGGTCATGGTAATCCTAGGATCTCGATGTCCATTTGGCTTTATTCCACTTTAAGGAATTCAAAATGTTTGCCTATTTTGTATTTTCTTGTGTCTTTGCTATTATCTCAAATTATAACCATTGCAGTTACTGAGGGCCATTTTAATCACATCTTTGTAATTTATATGCAGATAGTTTAGTTTTATACTCCAGAGATAAGGTAGGCTCCCAAAAAAAGGAATCGCAACACGTGTTGTACCATAAGCAGATTTTATTGTTCTTTTTTCTTATTGCTTTCATAGTTTGCAATGCATTGTAAGTGAGTGCACCATCATTGAGCACACTGATAAACTTTTTGAAGCTTTGATAAAAAATTACACTTTTTTATTACTAGCACGTTGCCTCTGTAATATTTGCATTTTTTGAGTAGAACATATGTGCAATTTTTAAGTATTCAGAAATCCTCCTTTGTGATCTGGGAGAAATGTAATGGCACACAGTGACTTAAGCCACTATGTTTTGGTTGCCTACTTACAGTTTGTTCCAGCATTTCTCTGAGGTTCTCCGTGAATTAGGCGTAAGAAAATTCATCTCTATCAATAGTAAACATTGAGGCTGTAATTGGCGAAGTAGCGTTTTTCTTGACATCATTAAAGCACTTTCCTATAAACTTTATACATTCATTTGCTCAACACGGCGTTTTAGATATATTTCCTGTTTACACTTTTTTATGTTCCATTACTAGAAATGAAATGATACCTGAGAAGCAGACCAATGAAGTCTAGATAAGAAGTTACAATTATGGAGAAAAAAGCTGAAAAAGTGGGACATGCATGCAGCAGATGGCAAATTGTAAGAGACAGGGATGCACTGAGTTGCCCTAAAGAGAAATGCTAAGGGGCTGTAAATCGAGGTATGAGTGGAGAAGAAAACAAAATGAGAAAAAAAAACTAAATAAAAAGAAGGACTTGGAAATTTAAAGTCAGGGTAAGTATCAGGAAAAGAGAGAAATTGATCAATTGATTGATAGTGGAGATACAAATACAACAAAATACAATACAAAACAGAAGAGCTGTGAAAGAAGCAGTAGACTTAGAAATAGGGAGGGTTATGTTACCGACCGATTTTTATTGCAGGAGGTGGAAATGGAGATGAACTGTTAAACTGGAGTTGAGGGGGTATATATTCAGCTTGATTTGAAAATGAATAAAAATAATTTCTTGTTGTTTTTTTATTGTTTCTTTGGTGTTTTAGGAAGTGATTGAGGCTATCGCAGAGTGTGCCTTTAAGACTTCACCTTTCCCAATCATCCTGTCTTTTGAGAACCATGTGGACTCGTAAGTCAGCAATTTATTTTAAGTCACAGTTCCAATTGTTCCTTATAGTGGGCAGGATGCTGTCTATTTGTCAGCTGTCTGTTCCTGAGCTAGGGAGAAGATTTTGATGGGCTTTTTTATCCTTAATAGCTCCAAGGGGATATAGAATGGGTGCATACATATTCAGTATATTGACATTTAGAAGAAGAATCATGCTTGTGTGTGGTGCGTGTTTGCGTTTGTGTGTATGTGTGGGGTGATATGTGTCTGCATGTGTGTGTGATGACTTCCAGACCAAAGCAGCAGGCAAAGATGGCAGAGTACTGCCGGTCAATATTTGGAGACGCATTACTGACAGACCCTCTGGAGAAATATCCCGTGAGTACATGAGAAGCTCACACACACACTATATGTGCATTTGCTCACACTCCCATTCACACTCTCGTGCACTTTGTGTCTTTTTAACACGTAGACAGACACAGGAAACATGGGTATCACTTAAGAATTCAGATGGTATTAAGACACTGATGGGTGCACTAATAGCATCCATAGATATGTTATCCATTGATTACTGAGTGTGTAAGAATTTAAATTTAAGGCAGCAAAAAAACAAAATATGTTATATACTGATCTGTTCTGGAGGGTAGCAAAAATAAAGCTTCTGCTCTCCAAAAAGCTCCTCATCAGTGGGAAGATGGGTCAACATTTGATGCTAAACATCATGCAGAGAAATCATCAGGAAAACAGAACTTCTTCACTTAGGTTTGATATTTGGTGTGAATAAGAAATTAAAAAATAAACGGCATATTAGCTCGTGTATTTAAGACGGTTGTCACACTGTGTTTTAGATGTGTTTTTGTTGCATTACCAGCAAGGTGGTCGATCTTTTTTCAACAACCCAGTTTGTATTATGAAACTACCTGTTCCTAGAGAAACACTGTGGGCTCCTGTTCATGATGTGAGGAAAAGTGAGAAAAGTGGGGTCAAGTGCAACAAGACAGGTGTACAAGTACTTGCAATGTTAATGGGAAGAAATCCACGAATGTCACAGAATATGAGATGCTCTCTGCAAGGAAATTGACCTAAATTTCTCCCAGTCAGTGAGCATATGTATTTACCAAAAGCATATGTATTTACCAAAACTAAATACGTCCTGCTTCACATTTGTACTGATATATGAAGAATTATCACACTTCTTAACACCACTATGTCTCTTCTGTCTCTCACATAGACCTATGACTCTTAACAAGCAAGGTTCTGATGAGTCATCCCTCGGTCATTCTTATTCCTCTCAATGATTTCTCTGTCATAATGACTAAGGCTCCAATTGACAGACGTTTAAGAATAAATGGAAGCATCCTATGCTGTAATGAAAACAT